TCATATTATAAATCTATTATAAGATTGCCTTTTGTTTTAATACCAAAATGTTGTGGAAGTCCTCTAGGAAACCCTTGTAAAAATTCAATTAACCTTTGTGCAAAAAAAAAAAAAAAAAAAAGACTAAGAAACAATGCCAGAATTGGGGTCATTAGCCATGTGCTGGCCTCCCGGTCAAGGAGAGCCAAGTACAGAAAGTCAGAAGCTCTGACCGTCAGACTGACTCGCAGGGGATTAATGGTACCATAGAAGAAGGCATTCCGCGTGCTTCCCAGCCCAGCCAGTCTGCACTTGTGCTTTGTCCCCTGTATAATTTAAAAAATTAAAATTATACAGAGAAAGTAGATATTTAAAAGCCTGCTCTCAAACCAGCAGCTAATTCATGATGGTTATCTTTCTCTCTTAAAATATTTATCCATATTATTCTATATGTCTACTCACAGTCATGTAGGTAACAGTTGTTTTCTTGACCAAGGAGTAGGGACAGTTTAGGCTTTTTATTATAGAACATGTGAGCTCACCAGAGAGAAAGAGAGATAAATCGTCCCTGGGGGTGGGAGGGAAAGTCACACGGCAATTCCCCCTCCTCCATTTTCCCCTCAGGATGTGGGGCATGCACATACATGTGCCTGGCATGATTTTTAAGCCACCAGGTCCAAGACTCAAATTGCGCATTTGGTCACGTAGGATCCAGCTGCCTTCAATACCACAGTGCAGGCTACCCCAGTTTTAGCTTTTTATCTAAGCTCCTTCAGGGAGCTGCTGTCACAGTACCCTAGCATACTGACCAGTATCCCTTGTGGGTAGTAGTAATTTGGCAGTGATCAGCAAATGCTACCCCACAGTTCCTCCAACATGGGTATTTGAGAGAGATGAACCTTCAGTTTATCATTTAATGGCAAGTCTAGTTGAACAGCATGAGATACATTCTCCTCGTTTTTATGTTTTCTATTTGAATATAGTTTTTTTTAAATGGATAAAAGTTTTCATATGTCTTAATTAAATTAAGTATATCTTCAAGAATGATCTACTTTTTTTTTTTTTTTAGGTTTTTGCTATTGGGCACGTTCACTCGCTGGAGAAAGACAGAGAGAGGGAAAGTGAAAAAATCACCCCCAAGTGGGAATGGCCACATCACAATCCCTTCTCTATTATCTTCCTAGGATGTTGGGCACATGCAAACATGTGCCTGACATGATTTTCAAACCACCAGGTCAGGGATTCGAACTGCAGTTGGCCATGTGTGAGTTCAGCGCCTTAACTATCATGCCACCTGCTGGCCCTGCTTTTTCATTTTTTTAAAGCTCATTCTTTCATTTCTCCCCTGAGAGATAGAAAGAGGAAGAGTGAAACATGCACCCAGAAAGGACTCCATACTACATTCTACCTCTAGACTCAGTCAGCCTGGATCACAGGCATGTATGCACACCCCGTGTACCCAGGGAGGCCTCAGGATGTGAGTCCAGGCGCCATTCAACGTGGGCCACCCCTGCAAAACCACTTGACCCCCTTTTGCATTTTAAGTGTCTACTGAGTTCATTATTGATACATGACATTGTTACCCCCCAACCCGTGAACATTTATTTACCAGTATCACACTGATTTTTCTCATGTAACTCTAACAAACTGGATTCTTTGGTGTTTATACTTCCTTTCTTTGTATCTTTTCTTCCTTCCTCCTTTCTTTGAGAAACGATCCAAACTGGATTTTTATGAAAAGAGAATGAAGACACAGGATTTGTGCTAACTCACTAAGGTGGTCTATGGCATAACCAATGAAGAATAATAAAGAGCTCAAATAGAACAATAAGATTTCGTTATGAAATCCGTAATTAATTTACAACTTTTTTTTAATTGCCAGAGGGTGCATGTGCTCACTGGAGAGACAGAGACAGAGAGGGAGCAGCACTTCCAATGGGCGTGTCACACCTCAATCCCTCCTGCTCCATTTCCCCATTCTGTCAGGACCTGCAGCATTCATGCACATGCGCCCTGCATGTTTTTCAAGCCACCACACCAGTATTTGAACCAGGGTTGGCCATGTGGGATCCAGCTCCCTTAGCCAGTAGGCCACGGGCTAGCCTGAACTGCCATTTTTATTCCCAGATTCACTGCCTGTGTTCTTTTTGAGCCAAATGTTCTTTTCATGACCTGTCTTGAACCCTTCCATACCCTATGACAGTTTCTTGTAAGAAGGACAAGGGGTAGGGAAATGTTGGATGGGAGGTGCAATAGGGAATCTCAAAGAAAAACCATGCAATTGAATAGGAAGAGCCTTTTTAAACAATAGCCTCTACACATCATAGATAGCTTTTAAGGAATACATACAAAATATTTACATAGCGGCAAGCAACGCGTTTCATTCAAAGCACTGTTCCCGACCTCAGCATCCTTCGCGATGCGTGGGGTTGAAGGGCTACAAGCTGCCTTTTCACACTGCTGCTCAGAGCCAGGGTCTTGCTTTCATGCCCCAGGTCTCCCTTTGGTTGCTCCGGATCGCTCTTTTCCATGTTTGGTTGCCATGGAGAAAGCTGCACCATTAGCTTTTGTTTCCAGTTACCAAGCGATTGTTAGCGCATTGCTTATGAAAATGGTTTCTCTAATGCTAATTAGTTATAGCAGGGAAATTAAAAGCGGTGCCTGCTTTTCTTTATTGATACTCTTCAGCAAGCGCTGAGGCAGGTATTTCAGATAAGGATTGAAATTACTAATTATAGTTTCTGGCAAAAGAAAACATTCACTTAGTATGTAATGAGTTAGACTTTAACTCTTCTCTTGCCTTCTGTTGAAAACTGTGGCTGGGTGCTTTTCTTCAAAGGATTAAATATTGCTTAAGTCCCTTTTGCCCCCTGTAATGGAATACTTGGCTCCCTGTGCTCTCAGGCCCAGAACCATGAATCTACAAAAGACCCATGATGGCAATGTTAATAATACAAATATAATAAAATTCTGGTTTCTGGCATTTGCTAACTCTGTGATTTTAAGCAAGCTGTTTAAGACGCCAGTTTCTTTACATGTGAAATAAGGGAATACACAGGAAATAAGACCTGTTTTCAGGACTGTTGCGATGTTGAAATGGAAAACTCGGGCCGTTCTCCTGGGCGTGTGATGTTAATTAATTTACAACTTTTTTTTAATTGCCAGAGGGTGCATGTGCTCACTGGAGAGACAGAGACAGAGAGGGAGCAGCACTTCCAATGGGCGTGTCACACCTCAATCCCTCCTGCTCCATTTCCCCATTCTGTCAGGACCTGCAGCATTCATGCACATGCGCCCTGCATGTTTTTCAAGCCACCACGCCAGTATTTGAACCAGGGTTGGCCATGTGGGATCCAGCTCCCTTAGCCAGTAGGCCATGGGCTAGCCTGAACTGCCATTTTTATTCCCAGATTCACTGCCTGTGTTCTTTTTGAGCCAAATGTTCTTTTCATGACCTGTCTTGAACCCTTCCATACCCTATGACAGTTTCTTGTAAGAAGGACAAGGGGTAGGGAAATGTTGGATGGGAGGTGCAATAGGGAATCTCAAAGAAAAACCATGCAATTGAATAGGAAGAGCCTTTTTAAACAATAGCCTCTACACATCATAGATAGCTTTTAAGGAATACATACAAAATATTTACATAGCGGCAAGCAACGCGTTTCATTCAAAGCACTGTTCCCGACCTCAGCATCCTTCGCGATGCGTGGGGTTGAAGGGCTACAAGCTGCCTTTTCACACTGCTGCTCAGAGCCAGGGTCTTGCTTTCATGCCCCAGGTCTCCCTTTGGTTGCTCCGGATCGCTCTTTTCCATGTTTGGTTGCCATGGAGAAAGCTGCACCATTAGCTTTTGTTTCCAGTTACCAAGCGATTGTTAGCGCATTGCTTATGAAAATGGTTTCTCTAATGCTAATTAGTTATAGCAGGGAAATTAAAAGCGGTGCCTGCTTTTCTTTATTGATACTCTTCAGCAAGCGCTGAGGCAGGTATTTCAGATAAGGATTGAAATTACTAATTATAGTTTCTGGCAAAAGAAAACATTCACTTAGTATGTAATGAGTTAGACTTTAACTCTTCTCTTGCCTTCTGTTGAAAACTGTGGCTGGGTGCTTTTCTTCAAAGGATTAAATATTGCTTAAGTCCCTTTTGCCCCCTGTAATGGAATACTTGGCTCCCTGTGCTCTCAGGCCCAGAACCATGAATCTACAAAAGACCCATGATGGCAATGTTAATAATACAAATATAATAAAATTCTGGTTTCTGGCATTTGCTAACTCTGTGATTTTAAGCAAGCTGTTTAAGACGCCAGTTTCTTTACATGTGAAATAAGGGAATACACAGGAAATAAGACCTGTTTTCAGGACTGTTGCGATGTTGAAATGGAAAACTCGGGCCGCTCTCCTGGGCGTGTGACGTAAACAGTCACACAGGGCCTGGTGCCCAGAGACCCCGTGGAGTCAGGCAGTCTGCACCGCCATCTGAAATGCTAAACAGCTTTTTAGCACAGAGCTCTGCGTTTGCATTTTGCACTGGGCTCCATGGAATATGCGCAGAAATGCTGCAGTGAGAAACACTCAGAGGTTCGACACACAGTAATCGATTTCCTGCTCGTGCACCATGGCCAGCATGGGGCAGGAGGCTGCTCTGCACCTCGAGGACCCTGCTGAAGGACTTCACCTTGACCTGGGCTTCCACAATCTCCACCACAAAGGGAAGGGAACAAGGAATAGTGCCCTGGCCCCCAAAGCTCCCATCCAGGAGTGACAGTCATCACTCGTGCCCACAATCCTTTGTCCAGAGCAATCTTAGGGCCTGACTTAACTTCAGCAGGGCTGGAAACTGCACGCCTGCTCTGCGCCTCGAAAGCAGGGAGCTGGCGTAGTTGGAGAACAGGCCTAACACTGCCACAATCCCCAACGCCCTGTTGTGTGGGATCCGCCATTCAGAGGAGCACACTGTAAGATTTCAGTTTTCTCCTAAAACAAAGCCAAACCAAATTGCCCAGACGTAAGATAACTTACCCTTTAAAGGAAGTCCTTAATTTCCTTGTTTTCCAACAAGCTCCAGATTCCCTTGGCTGTCCTCCTCCCGGGGACGGAGCATGTGCTGGGGAGCTAAAGCTGCAGCACCGGGGTTCAGTCCTTCCCGCATTGCTGGTGCCTCCTCGCCCTTCCTCAAAATCGAAATGGCGTTGCTGCTCGTTTTCCAATCATCAGATCCAAACAGATCCTCAGCACGTGTTCAAAAAGATGAAAAAGTAGAAAGTTCACGTAAAGGGCTGAAATCAGTAATAGTCCCGCTCTTTGCTACCACTTTGCTCTTTCTAGGCCGTTTACTGTATACACTCACACTTGACATTTTGAAAAATATGACTACTATTACATATTAATTTGTCCTTAGTTTTTTATAAAATGCTATGGTCATGTATATACTAAAAATAGTTACATTACTAATACTTTTAAATATCGCCAATGTGAGAAGCGATCACCTGATACACAGTCACATGGTTTAGATAAAGATTTATTTACTATCCACCCCAGCTGGCCTCCAGGTCCCAGCGACAGATTTTGGAGGTAATCTATGGTTCCGAGTATCATTCCAGAAATATTCTGTGCATATATAGCAATTACACTTGTTTTCCTTTTGCACCCACGGAATTGCTACATCCTATATATAAATTGTTTTCATTGTTCCAGAGTGTCCCATTTTTGTAATTATAGCATAATCTGTTTAACGAGCCATATATAGATAAGATTTCTTTTTTTTTCTGTTATAAGCAAAATTAGAAAAAATATGCCTGTGTATAAAGCTTCTTTTATCTATCTGGTTATTTTTGTAGAATACAGTAATAGAAGTAAACTCTCACTGCTGGTTACTAAAAGTTAGTCCAAGTACTTTTTATATACCGGGACTTTATCTATACCATTGTACTAGTGATTCTACATAAACTTACGCACTTATTTGATAAGTCATTTAGAATTTTTGGCCACTGAACAGCTGTTTTGAGAATTAAATCAAATAGTCCTTTAGAAAGTATATTGTAAAGTAATTGATATTACATATGTAAATCTAATAATGGTAAATAGTAATTATTTATAGTATGTCCTGTCTACTTGTGTTACCTTATTAATAAATGCAGTCCTATAATTATATAACTAGCACATGCTAACTTTACATTCTAAAGCCAGTCATAATACGTATGATACGTGACATGTAATTATGGACTTGTAAAGTGGAAAGTGGTGAAGCCAGGCTACTTGGTTTGCCCAAGGCCAGCCGGTCTGTGTCTACTGTGTCTACTGTGTCTACTGTCACTCTGTTGTGGTCAGAATAGCTAAGCTAGAACACGTTACAACTTACCCTTGTTAAATCAATTCACTCTGATAAAGCTCAGGTATCATAGATTATTTGTTTAAAGGGGTTTTGCCTTAGGGCACGTGCATTCTCTGCAGAGAGAGAGACAGTGAGAAGGAACGTGATAAAGCACCAACCAGGGTGGATGGCCATGCAACAGTCCCTTCTCCTCCATTCTCCTGGAATCTCAGGCCCACATGCACATGTGACAGGCATGATTTTCAAGCTTCCCACTCCGGGACTCGAACCACAGTCAGCCATGTGGGAGTCCAGCGACATAACCACTATGCCATCTTCTGGCCCCTATTGTTTATTATACCTATACATGTCTGTCCATGTAAGGCCACTTTTGATATCTATCTGGCTTTAGAGATGGGTTCCCAGTTTCTGCCTCTACGTTCCTTCCGGTCAGGCAGGTCTCAGTGCACAGCATGCTTGAGGGTCCCTGTCAGGTTGTGCATGAAGGCAAGGAGGGACCTGCAGAAGCATCCCCCATGCGCGCTGCCGTGCTCAGGACAGCTGAGCTAGTGTTGTATGTGCATTCTAGCACTAGGCATATCTATTTCGTTGTCCTAACTTTCCCATTTGTCACACAGAAGAAGATTATTTCTAGAAAGCATTCCCTCTCAGAAACACCAACTCAGTTTAGCCTGTTACGTTTTCTGTGATCCTCTCCCAAATAAAGTTAGTCATTTTGTTCTACCACGCCGCAGGTGAATTTAAGGTCTTCTTCATAACCTCTCTTCATTAACCTTGCTCTAAATGAAATTCCTGACCATTTTTCCCATCACCAGTACAAGCCGCTGATAGCCTGCAAGAAGTGTCACAGTGTTTTTAACACTTTTAAAGCAAAGTATCTTTTCAAAATGCTGGGTAGGACATTCCACGAGAACAATGTTCCCTAATAATTAACCACACTGGTGAGTGAAGTGCTCCCGGCTCTTCCTCAGGCTACCTCCCTACCCAACATCACCGAGTTAATTAACAGACATAATGCTCGCTTCCTTGCCTGTCTTACTACCTAATTAGAACTGCATGTGTTGGTTTGTATCAAAGCCATTTCACCTCATCTCGCCCACCGGTTATTCTGTTCGCCATCCGTAGAAGCTGGCTCCCAGTTTCCATTCCCATCCTTTTCATGCTAGATAACTTCTATACAGACAACGGGAGACGGTGAAGCATGGTCTCATTTCATTGTAATTATGGAATGTCCCAGCTAGAGCCAAAGAGTGTAGAAATGCCACAGCCATTGCAGCGTGTCTCCGGTGTTCTCAGAAATCGATCACTGTGTGACTAAACCGCAAGTGTCAAAGAAACACATCGGCGGGTCTGCTGCCTCCCGGCCGCCCTGGCTTCTCAGCAACTGTTCTTTTCCTGGTAGTCATTTTTAATGGCCTACTTAATCGCTACCTCAACGGTGGGGAACTCTCCATAACATCTTAAGCTTTAAAAAAAGTTTTTTGAACATGAGTTGGAACTCATAAATATTTGGATTTTCTCAGGAAAAAAAACATTTTTAGTTTTCAAGTTGTACTTTTTTTTTAGAGAGAGAGAGATTTTTGCTATAGGGCGCATGTGCTCACCAGAAGGACAGAGACACAGAGACAGAAAGCAAGAAATCACACACCCCACACCCCAGGGGGATGGCCATGCCACAATCCCTTCTCCTTCATTCTCCTCTCGGTATCTTGGGCACGCACACACTGGGTCTAAAATAAATCCCCCAACTTAGGAGAGCGTTCCCAGCCACTTCGTGTCATGAATCACTTTGAAAAAAAAAAAAAAAACTGTAGACAGTGTCCTGAATAATACTTTTTAATATATGAAATAAGATATATAGGATTCTAAACAAAATGCAGTTACCAAGATAGTAAAACTAAATATTTTCTTTGTTAATATAGTAAAAATAAATAAAGCCAGTGTATCTAAGGTGAAGTTAAATGTTCCTGCTTAAAGGCATGTCAGTGCAGAGGACATTTTGCTTAGTGTGAATGAGAGTATTAAAACGCAGTCCTCTGCCTGCCTTCCTCATGATGATCAAAATTCCACTGGAGATGGGACTCCCAGAAAGCACCATGCAAGTCTGAGTCCCCTTTATGCAGATAGTAAAACTAAAGATTTTCTTTGTTAATATAGTAAAAATAAATAAAGCCAGTGTATCTAAGGTGAAGTTAAATGTTCCTGCTTAAAGGCATGTCAGTGCAGAGGACATTTTGCTTAGTGTGAATGAGAGTATTAAAACGCAGTCCTCTGCCTGCCTTCCTCATGATGATCAAAATTCCACTGGAGATGGGACTCCCAGAAAGCACCATGCAAGTCTGAGTCCCCTTTATGCGAAGAGAGGACTCCTGCGTTCGCCCCAGTTTGCAGCTACATCATACAGGGATCAGGTATCCGCTACTGTAAATTGAAGTAATAATGAGCAGAAATATCTCATGCTATTTGCAGAAATGCCATTTTCCATGAACTTCTTGAAGTCCTCTCCTGTGTGCGTGTTTCTGTTTCCTGTGGCTGTTGTAACACATGACCACAAACTTAGTGGCTAAAAGCATCACAAACGTATTATCTTACAGTTCTGGAGGTCAGAAATCCAGGGGTCCCAGGTCTGCATTTCTTCTGGCAATTCTACAGGGGAATCCATTTCCCCCCCTTTTCAGCTTCTAGAGGCTACCTGGGATAATACTGTTCTTACCTGCTCTGTCTAAACACGGCAGCCAGCGTTAGCTACAGCTGAGGATCACAGGGAAAACACAGCCCTCCGAGTCCGACTTCGTGGGCGATTCTGGCTGTTCCTGTACTTGTTCTGCAGACTTGAGCTTCTAGCATGCAGTCCGCTCACTCCTCCGTTCAGAAATGGAACTGCTAGAGATGAAGTCTATAATACAAGAAGTAAAAATCTCCCTTGAAAGTATTAAAAGCAGACTAGATCATTCAGAAAATAGAATCTCAGATATAGAAGAGAAAATGGCTGGTCTGGAAAAATCCACCACGAAGTCTGAGAAAATGGCCCAAAAATTTGAGAATAATAAATGAGAAGTACTAGACACCATTAAACGTCCAAACATTGGGATAGTTGGCATTCCAGAAGGTGAAAAGACCCATAAGAGCATTGATAATCTATTCCATGAAATCCTTCAAGAAAACTTTCCAAACTTAGAGAGGCATTCGAAGATCCAGTCCCAAGAAATACAAAGGACCCCAAATAGAATCAACCCAAGAAGATCTTCTCCAAGACACATTATAGCCAGGTTGACCAGAAACACAAAGACAAGATACTAAGATTGGCAAGAGAAAAACATCAATTTACCTACAAAGGACATCCCATCAGGTTAACAGCAGATCTCTCATTGGAAATAATGTGAGCGAGGAAAGAATGGGAAAATATATTCAAAGTGTTAAGATAGAAGCAATTTCAGCCAAGAATACTGTACCTGACAAGGTTATCTTTCAGGCAGGAAGAAAAGACAAGAACATTCTCAAATAAACAAAAGCTGAAAGAATTTACCAGCACCAGACCAGATCTCTAAGAAATTCTCAAGGGTGTGCTATGTCAGGAAAATTTCTTCTCACATAGAAGAAGGCAGGAAGTATGAGTTGAAGGATAGTATGGGTCCTCTGTAGTCACTAGGGACCCATGGCCCTTCCTTTGGACCATCTTTCTGAGCAAGCAGCTTCCTGGAATGCTCCGCAAAACCTTCTGCTGACAGCTCACTGACCAGGCCTAATGCAAGTGAAGACGGGAAATGTGTTGCAGGCACGTTGTTGATGTTACAATGAGGAGGGAAGAGCAGAGCATGGGTACTAGGTAACCATTTGTGTTCTCTGTCACTCCTGACTGGCTTCTACACATCCGTGGAACCTCATCTTGTGC